TGTACAATCGTTAAGGAAGAAATAAAGTAATTTGTTATCGTTTAAACTTATTTACATCAGATAATCTAAAAGAACTCATAAATGAAAAACAGCAACAACATTAAAACATGTGTATACCACTTTGATACTAACTTGGACTGTACAACACAAAACATATTTAAATTAATGTATGGGTGTGTTTAATTCTTCTAAGGAGCACCAGCAGGAATTACCAAGAATTGTCGTAAACCTCTGTACACACACTGCAACAGCCATTGCTTTAGAATAGTAAATGTGCCAGTAACACTCTCGTAAGGAATATGATGAACAAAACTATGTTAGTCTGTCTCTTTTATGCAAATTCATCCAAATGCAGTGACTACTTCATGAAATGCACTAAAGAACCTTATGAAACGAGGAAACATAACTTAGTCGAACTGTGTAGATTAAGATTTATTGAGAGACATGATACCTTTGAGATATTTTGTAACTTGTATGTTGCTATTGAAGCTTCACTTTAGGGCATGTCCCTATTCAGAGAATACAACAAAGAGACAACTTCAAAAGCTACCACACTCCATGCTGCCATAACACAGAAAGTCTTAATAGGAAACTGCAAGAAAGAACACTTTGAAAGTGTTAGTGCTGAGAAAATCACTTAAAAAAAGACGAGATATGAGATAGATGTTGTTATACAGAAGCATTCACACTAACTGAATCAACTGATGTACAGCCATCTATTCCCAGGAGTCGTGGTGGGGAAACACAGCAAAAAAAACCATCCGGATGAAACTGCTGAAATTTACTACAGAACGCTAATAACTACTCCATATCTTGATGATTGGCTTCAGAATTTAGGTACAAAAGTTAACCCACTTACAACAACAGCAACTAAACTACTGAAGCTTCTTCCTAAACATGAATAAAACACAGAAATGGAATATTTATAAGTCTTCATTGACTTTTATGCAGCTGACTTTAAGTCCTAGGGATGTGTTTGCTGGATTAAGACCTTGACAAACCTTTTGCAAACTAATGGATGAGAAGCCAAACACTGCATTAGGAGCACTCCAGGCTTATAACAAATCTTCTTGTAATATTGAAATCATTTGTAATGCGGGAATGACAAGGTGTGAATGTGAATGTAGTCTCGATGAGCTCGGTCTTCTCAAGACACACTTGCAATCTATAATGAACTAGGAACAATTAAATGGACTTTAACTTATGCAAGAAAGCACCCAAGAAGAATGTATTGGAAAACATGCCGAACTAATTCTAATTACAAACGCATAGATTTCAGTGTTGATTTATTCGAAACCTGGTTTCTAGCAGTATAAGTCTGTATACATACTGCTGTGCCACTGGGAGGAGCAAGTTGAAGAAATAGGGATTAGCAATTTTTTCATGTGTAGTGGTTGGTTAGTTGTTTTGAATTTCGCGTAAAGCTACACGAGGCTATCTGCGCTATCCGTACCTAATTTAGCAGTGTAAGAAAAGAGGGAAGGCAGCTAGTCATCACCAAACTCTTGGGCTACTCTTTTACTCAACGAATAGTGGGATTGACCGTCACATTATAACGCCCCCACGGCTGAAAGGGCAAGCATGTTTGGTGGGACGGGAATTCGAACCCGCTACTCACAGATTGTGAGTCGAGTGCCCTAACCACCTGGCCATGCCGGGGCCATGTGTAGTGAGCTGATAAATTGTTTATATCATGTGACATAAGTGATCTATTAGGTTGGGTTATTTTAAAATTTCATTTTGATTTATATATATATGTTTTTCAGTATTTTTAGGCATACAAATGTTTTGTCTTTTTAAAGGGTATTTTTTATATCAATATCACTGTGGTCCATAGCATATGCAATAATTCATTAAAATGTATTGTTTATTACTTTTTCAAGGTGAAAATATCCCTTATCATACGTTGTCCTTTGAATGTCTCTTATGCACTGCATTGGTACATAATTTATATTTAATTCTCAATGTAATTTTCTTGTGGTAAAACAATAATCTTTTAATTGAAATTTTCTTGTAGCCCAATGCATGCCTTGCATTATATCCATTAAATAGTATATTTTGTTCATAAATACAGTTTGTATGTCTGTATAGCAATATAAATTAGCCTCGAATACTGATCAAATTTATGATGATTGCGAAAGTAACTTAAAAAATCGAATTGGTTCGTGGGACCACCCCGTAAAAAATTTCTTGATTCGCCACTGTAAGAGGGTTTAATAATGACATTTTTTTCGAATTTGATGAACATAACATAACGTTTGGGACAACATGGGACCTATTGGTCCATCTTGGCTGTTTTATCCTTTAAACTAAACTAAAGCTATTAATAAATAAATTAAAACAAAAATCTTAAAGCCAGCCCTTATCATTCACATACTTATCAAGTTTTTTCTTAAACTCACTTGAATTCACTGCCTCCACTACATCCAAAAGCAACCCATTTCAAAGGCCAACCACCCAATTAGAAAAATAAAACTGTCTTAGCTGAAGATGACTCCTACCCTGCCAAAATTTATATTTTTGTCCCCTAGTCCTACTATTCTCACTGTTAAGTATGGAAAAAGATGATGCATTAACACTAATAAATTCCCTTTGTAATCTTAAACACCTGAATCTGATCCCCACTAACTCTTCTTTTTTCAAGAGAAAACAATTTGAGAGATTTCAACTTCTCCTCATATGATAACTCCTTTATCCCAGGCACCATTCTAGAAACCCTTCTCTGAACCCTTTCCAACAATTCAATGTCTTTCCTAAGGTAAGGAGCCCAAAGCTGAACATAATATTCCAAATGTGGCCTAACCAGTGACTATACAATGAAATTATAACCTCTTTAGACTTGTATTCACTATTTCTGTAGATACAACCTAAAATCCTATTTGCCCTACCACTAGCAACAGCACACTGCTTGGATAGTTTTATTATACCAAGATCCATTGTTTTTCATCTCACTATTAAGGTTATTCCTATCCAGGTTATACTAAAAGTTCAAATTATGATACCCCGCATGTATTATCTTGCATTTATTATCATTTAAACCCATCTGCCATTTATTTGCCCAACTCACTAAATGACCTAAATCCTTTTATAATCAGCAGCATCCTCTTCACGGCTAGCAACAGCCAAGACGTTAATATCATCTGCAAATATATGTAATTTATTGACTATTCTTTTTTTACATCATTGATGTAAATCAAAAAGAGCAAAGGTCCAAAGACTGAGACCTCAGAAACCCCACTTGTGACATTAATCCAATTTGACTGAACTTCATTTGTAACAACCCTCTGCTTTTTTTCCATCCAGCCACTTTTCTATCCAATTTCTTAACTTATCCCCCACACCTATAGAGATTAATTTTACAAGCCTTTTATGTGGCACCTTGTCAAATGTTTTCTCAAAATCCAGATACACCAAATTACACTCTTATCCTCATCTACATAAGCAGTAACCTTTTCAAAGAATGTCAAAAGATTTGTAAAGCAATATGTTCCCTTAGTGAAACCATGTTAATTATCCAATAATATTCTAAACTTTGTTAAATGACTTTTCAAATCATCTTTTATCAGACTTTCCAGACTAACTGTTCTATAATTATTGCGATAATTTTTATCACCTCACTTGAAAAGAGGAGTTACATTAACTAACTTCCAATCCTCTGGTACCTGCTCAATATTCAAGTACTGACAAAAATTAGTAGCAAGTGGCTCACATATACAATCTTTAACCTCCTTTAAAACCATTGAGGAAATATCATCTGGCCCAGGAGCTTTATCGTTCTTTAAACTTACCTTTTTTTTTCTTAACCAGCTCAGAATTAATGCAGTCATCTTGTTTCCATCTTCAACTGTTCAAGATATGGAATACTGCTTAAATTGTTTGTTTGTTTGTAGTTAAGCACAAAGCTACACAATGGGTTATCTGTGCTCTGCCCACCACGGGTAAAAGAGTAGCCCAAGAGTTGGCGGTGGGTGGTGATGACCAGCTGCCTTCCCTCTAGTCTTACGCTGTTGAATTAGGAATGGCTAGCGCAGATAGTCCTCGTGTAGCTTTGCGCGAAATTCAAAAACAAATAAACAAATCATTCATCAAGGGTCCTATCACCATCCTAACATTTTGTTTACCCTTAAATGCAGGTATTACATTTAAAAACAAAATTAGCTCGGCGTTTTCTGTTTCTTAACACAGATATAATTTCAACAAGTTATTTAACTGTCATATTTACAGGTGTGAGTGTCAATAGTTAGTGTTTATGTAGGAATAATTATTCTTGACTTTGTTTAAAGCATACTGAATTTATTATGAGACATTTTTAAACGTAAAAAACAAAAACAAAAAAAGCAGTAATTGGTAAGAAATCGAAAGCTCCTGACGATACTGCAGTAGCGAAATATTGAGTTAATAAAGTTACATTCAGGAGATATTGGTCGTTATTTTTATTTACGTTTATGTAGGAATAGTTTTCTATACAGATTTTAAGTCCAAAACTAACGTGGGAATTTAGAATGTGTTGCATTAAATAATTATGCGTTCTGTATTGAACATTACATTTTTGACATTAATATTGCAACTGAATTAGCTTAGAATATGATATCGCAATTTTACATTTACTTTAACTTTAAAGTTTAAGTTATAATTAATTGCAACGTTTCTTCTTACAACTTACAGATTATCAGTTTCTCACATATGTTCTATACCTACAAGATACAAGATATTTTACCTCTGTGCCTATACACTAATAGTAATACAGTAATGTGTATTGATGTCATTATACTGTAGTCTGTTTTAGGGTTTGGACCAACGTATACTAAACAAAGTACTCTCAATTTCATCGATAATTTAAATCCATTGTTAGGTATGACGAGGCAGTTGCAAAAATCAGACACATAAATTTTCACCTTTACTTTAACTTTCGTTTTACCTTCCTTATTATTATTATTATTTATAGTTGGCCAGACGCATGTCATCGACTAATAATAATTGTTCTAACGTTAACACTTAACTGTACTGTGTGAATGAGTCTGTAGAGATACTGTTCCATGCATGGCTGTAGACTCGCCTGTGTGATAAACTTATATATAACTATAAATGATTTGGATTATAGTAGAATGAACAGGATATAGGAACAATTTGTGGTACTTTTTACAGTTTTAGTGAGTGACTATGAATATTAAGGTGAAGCGTGAAAGTGTTAACATTCTAGTTAAAATTATGGTGGAGTTGAACATGATTTAATATAATTGCTTAAACACACATTTTGATGTTAAATCAAAATTAGTGTTTTCTGTAGAATTTTAAGTTACTTTAAAAAGTTACAAGTTTTAACACAAATCTGATAGTTTGTTTGAATGAGGAGTCTTAAGTTTATAATATTTGTCCATCAATTTGGCTAAGTTATGTGTAATAACATTGATAAAGTTTAAATAACTTCCTACTTCTAGTTTATGGAAAGTAAAATGCATAATAATATTAATAGGGTTTAGATTCATGGTATTATGAGTTACATATGTAATCAAATGGTTATATTTTAAATGTGTTAGTGTTTCATGTTTGTATTTATTGTTTTAAAGATAAGGTTGACTGCTTGATCATACAGCATTAATTATTGTTATATTATACTTATATAGTATATTGTTTGATTTTATTTTTTTGTCAAACCTTGCTCTTAAAACTTGCAAGTTATAAAATAAAAACAAAAGATCCTTATCTTCATAGTTTTGTATCAAATATTTGGCAATTGACCTTTAATTATGATAATTGCAATGTATAGCATTTGGGTTATCATAATTTGGATCAAGCATTTAATATACAAAGGAATCAACTTAGTACCTTAGCTAAAGAAAACAATCTTGGCATAGTGGTGGGTAAGTTACTCAAGCCATTAAGGCAGTGCAAATTTGGTAGTATTAAAGTTAATAAAATTTAAGGGGGAACTTATAAACACATTGATTATATGTCAACAGAGGTGATTATCTATCTATACAAATCCCTACATAGGCCTCACTTGGAAGAATGTTTACAATTATGGTCTCCCAATCTAAGAAAGGGTGTATAGAAGGGCTACTGGAATGATTCCATGGATGAAAGGGTTATCTTATGAGGCTAGATTAAGATCTGAAATAAAATCTAGTCTAATGAAACTTTTACATTATCTATGCATCAGCAGGATTTGCTATTGCAGTTGTGTTTGTTTCTGATTGGACAGTTTCTTATGTTTGATTTCATATCTATAGAATATTCTATACCAAATGTGTGCAAAAAAATCTACTGGTTAAAAGTGTAATGTTTGGGTTTTTGTTTATTGTACACTGCATTGAGTGTTTATTAATGTTTGTATTAAGAATGATTCCATATCCCATTTTTAAATTCTGTTAAACCTATTGTAATATAATTTTTTTCTTTTCCATGTGAAGGACTATGGATAAACATTATGAAATAATTCTTTATTCTCTATCAGAAGAACTTATGAAATCTGGCCTATCAGCAAATGCTGATCATCTTTAAAGTTTCATCGACATAATATGCATGATTTATTTTCATAAAATGGCTGATCAGCTGTCTGGAATCACTGTTGTTATTTTTATAGCTTTTGGTGTTTTGGTGAGTACATAACCTTACATTCATTAACATGATCTGCTATAGGTAATGACAGTTGATAAAATGGAATGGTTGTAAATCAAATTTATGACTAAGTTTTAGTAATGTTAGGATTTTGGACTTTATTGATACATTGTTATTTATGAGACTTTTCTTTTTGAAGTCTGTATGTATTATTATTTTTATTTATATAACAACTAAATTTGTTTCTAAAAGATAATCTTCAAACAAATATTTAATTTGTATGTTCAATCACTATTTTGTAAAGGCCCCCAAATATGAATATTTACAAACAAACATTTCTTGTATGCTATTCTAAAACACAAGGACAAGCAGTATGATCTCGTCAGTGGACAAGTTAATTTACCACCAAGTAATATAATCTACAGTATTGCTACAGAATTTTGATACATGTGAAATTTGAAAAAACTTAAAAACATGGACAAATTAAGAAGGATTAGTGGTAGAAAACAAAGATTGGTGACAAGTGTTACTAGTATAATACCTCATTGGGCTGTTTTAGTATATTTGTTGTTCAATAGTTATTTTAGTCATTTGGATACCTTCTTCTACAAGTCATCATATTCCCAACTTTTCTGATAACACTAAGGTTATTGAAATAGTTGATCTTATTGAAAAGGACTTTTCTTATTCAAACAGAATTTTGTAGTTTTAGTGAGTGGCCTGAAATAAGGTTTAATATTGAAAAGTTTAAATTGCATATATAGATAACAAAATTTTAAAGTAAATTAATTTTTATTTGAAAGAATCCTTGATGTTGTGAAAAAAGAAAGAAAATAATTTAGGCATGTATGTTAACAAAACCCTTTGTTGAGTGTTTAGCTGTGGTGAAAAGACCAAACTGGGTTTTAGGTTGTATCTGTAGGGCTTTATTATCAAGAACAATAATGTTATTGTAGCCTTAAAGGGGCTTTCTAAAAAAAAAAAAAAAAAAATATTGGGGGGGGGGGGGCTATATTTGATGATTAATGTGATGTAGAGCATTTGAGTATCAAAGGCATAGTATGTTTGTATATGTTCTGATTGTATTCCCAAGGATTTTTTTTTACAAATATGTCTAAAATGATACAGTTTTAAGGGTATCTGGCTGCAGAAACCACACAACGAGCTATGGAAAGAAAAATACTTCATATAACACTACAAGACAGAATAAGTAAATCAACAAATAGGTAAGGTTTCTTCTAAGAACTAAATGGAAATGAGCTGGGCATGTAGCAAGGTATTCTGATAATAGGTGGACATTAAGAACAATGGAATGGCAACCTAGGACAGGGAAAAGATCTAAGGGAAGGCAAAAGAGAAGATGGTGGGACAATATAGTGGTGGAAGTAGGAATCAGATGGACATGGTATGTTAAGAATAGGATATACTGGAATTATCTGATGGAGAGCTACATCCAATGAGGGATGACTGCAGCTTAGATAGATAAACAGATAGCTATTCACACCAAAATGTTTATCTAGAAATAAAACCCCCAAATTTGAAAACAATTTAGTGGAGGTTGTATCGAGTCTAGGGATTGAAACTTCCTCTCTGCCTTATACAAGTCACTAGCAAGGCCACACTGCAACACTGTGTGCAGTTTGTTCCCCTTTGATACCATATGGGAAATATATATATATATATATAATGTTGGAAAGAGTTTAAAGATGGGTTACTAAGTTGAACATGTAGAGTGATGTTTTGTGTGGTTCATTAAGAAGAGAGGTTTAGAGCATTGGATATGGTTTCTCTGGGGCTAACATTGTGCATATAGAAGGAATAGAAGAAACTTGATTCAGGGATTCAGAATTGTTAGTTGTTTGGACATTATTGCTATGGATGGTCTGTTTGCTGTTAAATGCAAAGGTTGAATATATAAAGTTGAATATCAGGAGCAATAAGCTTAAGTCTTGTAAACCTAGATGAAGACATATTCGTTAACATAATGGTTATTTTAATGTGTGTATGTGTACTAGACTTACAAACTTGTTGTAATATTTGCCTGATTATAAAGTAGTATATGCAATTAGATTATTTGAATTCTTTAAAGATTTCTTGAATAGGTACATGGATGTGAATTACTATAATATTTAAGTTTGATTTTATTTGTTGTTCTATTTTAATGGTGAGGAGAGATCACAAGGAACTAATTGATCTTCAGTCAATTTACATTTTCTGTATGCTTATGTTGGTTTTTAGGTTCATCTGGTAATTAAATTCATTGCACATCATACCAAAAAAGCATTATTTAGGCCCTGCTGGTGACCCAAAGGAAACCTGGTTTATATATTCAGACATGGAGGTTGACCTTGTCAAGTACAATAATGCAACCAAACTTCCATTGGTACATCAAGTACATGATGTTTTGGGTCTTTTTCTGGTTGCTTTTGTGTCTGCACCTTCCTTGATGGTGAAAAGGTCTGAGGGCGAGTACTTAGTTCTCCCTCCATCCCCTGATACTGTGGTTCGTGCAGGGAGGATTACTGTGAAGGGACAGCTATGCTTTGTCCACCACATTTGTCAGAACAACATGCTTTCAACCACGACAGCCAGGTGGAAACATATTTAGACTCTCAGAGAATAGACCTGCTCCAGGAAACTTGGTGTTCCAGAACAGAGTCATTGGTCAACCTGAATATATTACAGTTTTCTGGGATTCATTTGACTCTAACTATGGTGCTTAGATATTTATCACCCCTACTCTTTTTTTTTTCAGGAAGCATCTCAACGATTGCCACATCACTTTGATGACAAGTTGGGGCCATTTTAGCATCCTCCTTGGGTCGATCGTCAGCAGCTGCACTTTTCCTAATCTCTTGGCTGGTATGTTGTTGGGATTTATTGTATAGAGATGAGTTGTTGGAGAACATTCATCTACCTGCTGCCACCCTCTGTGAGTTACATGAGGCCCTTTTCTCTAACCCTTGGTTATTGCAGGCTTTCCAGAGTCTTTAGATTCAAAGGTTGATGTCGCCTGTCTTTGTTCATGTCTGTTAATGTTTTGCCCCTATTTGAGTGTCCCAAACCCTGACATAAGCCCTTTGGTCCATGGGTACTCAGAATAGATTCCACCCGTATCCATGAGGTTCTTCTGCTAGGTCAAAATGCCACCAGTGTTGCCAGTGACTACTGTATGCTTTTGGAGTCTGTGGGTAGTTGGCTTTGAGAATTTCTGGACATGTGGACAACCTTTACCATGGATCCATGGGTGCTACAGGTCCTTGCATCAGGTTTAGTCATTCAGTTCACATCACCACCACCATTATCCCCCAAATTGTTGTGTTTCCTGCAGATCCTCAGATTTTGGAACTTGGCTAATGGAGATTTGTTGGTCAAGGGGCAATGGAAGGAGTCTTTTCAGCTCTTCCTGGTATTTATTCCCATCTGTTTGTTTTGCCCAAGAAGATGGGAGATTAGCAATATGGTCTTTGATCTTTCTCATCTAGATCAATTCCTAGACTCTCCAAAGGTCATGATGGACTCATTCTCCACTCTGCATTGGTAGTTTTTGCCAGAACTGTGGATGACCAAGTTCAAAGTCACTAATGGTTATCTGCATGTTCCCATAGCAGATTCATTCCACCACTATCTGCATTTTGTGCACAAGGAGCTGGTGCTGCAGTTCAGGTCTTTGCTCTTCAGACTAGCATCATCTCCATGTGTTCTGCTGAATGGTATGAACTTTTTCTCGTCACCTCATTTTGTGGGCTGGTATGTGGATCTCCTACAATACATTTATCTTACATTATTTGCTTGATCCAACACTACCTTTCTCTGAGGATTTTTGACTACCTCCTATAGCTAACCGCTAGATTATACAAAGGAGTGAGTATTTTCATAACTAATCTTATCTCTTCTTTCCTTTCCAGGGTTCTTTATATCTTTTTCTCAGGACCCCAAATGTTGCCCAGTCAGTTGTGCTTTTATCAAACCAAATCTATACTAGTAACCACTAACACAATATACTTTATCTAGGTTGCAACAGGCTCCATAGAAATGAGTGTTACATAAGACCACCTAGAGGCAGACTGGGTAGTATTACTGTACTATGCTGAACTGCCACTCATGAACTGTCATGTGTAAAGCCTCTCCTTGCTGATTAGTGGATTGAATAAATTGGGGTCAGTTTGCTTTTAAAAAATCTAGGGAACTTGGTTCAACTACTGCAATGTTTCCAGAGCATTGTTTCTCAGGACTCCTTAGCACGCATTACTCCCCCCCCCCCCCATCCCTGCCCCTTAGCACTTCCACTTTTCCAGTCACTGAGGTGGTGGACAGAGGTTATTCCTCAAGAGTGTTTGAGTGACTTTCCTCTACTCTTGGAAAAGAGGGCAAAGTTGGGGGCACTCCAACCCAGGACCCTGGATGTTTTTTTTCCAGATGTCAGTAGGAGCAGCACCAGCCTGCATGGGAGTCTACTTGTAATATTGGTTCAGATTTGATGCTCAGCTATCTGGTTGGGTTGAGTGGGGCTCATTTTTTTTATGAATACTAGTTCAGTACATTATTCATGAAGGAGTTTCCATTGTCTCCTCATAACTCTGAATGCAGAGTGGTCTTATCCTGGGTCCTTGGTTAAGCACCATTTGTTCCACATCCTTCCCATAATTCCAGGAGTAAGTGGAATTTTCCTTGCTCACATGGTTGGGGAGTGAGGATGAGTGTTCATAATTCCAGACCGGATGAGTTCTGTTTCCTCAGGTTGATTATGGTGTACAGGAACTCATCATTCCTAGTTTGGGGTGTTGCCTTTCGGACTTCATCAGATTGAGGAGAGGGTTTGTCCACTTCGGTGTTGCTTACCTTCACGTTGTGATTTCGGTGGTGCAAAATGCATCACCCTATAGCTACAGGTTGGGATTCACTCACAAATATATATATATTGCAGTCCAAGTTCTCTAGCCACCATGGCCCTGTAATTCCAACCCCAAGCAGTGGGACCTAAGTAGTGCATGATTTAGGTTCTGGGTAAAAAGCATGCCTGTTCTGAATGTAGTGTGATTCCCCCACTAGGGTGCTAATCTTCTATTGGCATAACCATGATCTATGCAAATGCATTCTGTATGGATAATGCCCTCACTGTACCCTCCACCTTATCAATGTGGGATTCTAGTTTTAGTATGAGAGGAGATAAGTATGTTTTGGAAGTTAACATTTTCTTAAATAAAAAAATCTGTTTCGATTAATACTTACCTCTCTCACACTGTCCTTCCCTTCCTCCCCACTAAGAGCCAGTGGATTGGGTCAGTTTCAAAAAAGTGATAATATTATCTGAAGGAGGTGCTTATATACTGCACCAAGATAAAGGGAGCATTGATATAGGTGGAGTGTGTCACAAGACAGATATTGCCAAGAGCAATTAAGTGGGGGAATAAAAGACTTGAGTAAGTGAGAAAAAAACAGACAAATGTTTAGATGGGCAAAGGAAAAGATAAAGAAACCCTAGCAGTCAAGCAATAACTGTAGTGTGAAAAGAGGTAAGTATTGTTGGAAATACATTTTTGATTGATGTGACAAATATTTTGTTTTACCCACCAGCATACCCCAAGTTGAACAAAAAATCTGGTCTAGCTAAGTAATGAATGAATATATTCTGTAAAATTCTTATCAATGCTATAAGTGTAGCTACTAGTTTGGCTGCCAATTTGTATTTCATTCCTTTAATCCTATCGCTCCGGGTACACTTTACTGAGCGTGACACAAGATTTTAGTGTCTTACATTCAAAATTTTATAAAACTACTTTTGTTTATGTTATATCAATTAGAATAGCATAAAATCTTAGCTAATAATCCATATTTTAATAGTATACAAGTTTTAAGTTCTTAATTCTACAAGGCAATATTGAAAAAAATCCTGAATTTCCACTAGTGTGACCTACGTTTCACATTTTCTCTTAGCATGTCATCATCCCTATTTTATCCACTACCCCTCGAAAAAGTATGAAATTAAATATAAATATTCTCTATAAAATCCTTATTACTCAAACAAACCATAACTTTTATAGCCTTCAATTTTGTTTGGTTACAGAGCTATTGAATAGAAAATTAGACCCCTCTTCCACACCCACCTGTCACATCTTCTCTTTCACAATTCATTGATAGTTCTCTTACAATTTTTTTTATATTCCCTATAACCAATAGAAAGTCAAGGTTTTCATCTTTCGAATGATGTATTGTATAACACTGTATTCTGAACAGAATATCGTCAATTTCACTCACAGTGCAAGATTTGTTCCCTTGGGAAAGTCAGTGACGTGTGGATGAATTTGTAACGGCTCTTGTCGCATAGTTAGAAAGCCAAGAAACTTTTGAGAGGTAAGAGAATTTGTCTACTTTTTGTATATTATTAGTCTATACTCTTTGGTGCATTATTTAATTAAATAAAAATTATTAAGTGCATTACAATCTATAGTATAAAAAATTAGGGTTAACTCTCTTCAAAACCCAACAGAAAGAAAAAAAAGAAGATTGGGTAAGTACTTTATTTCTTTTTTTCATATTTTATCTTTATTTATTATTATAAAAGTAACTAAAATATAAAAGTACAGATCTTTTTAGGTTATTTTAGACTTGATTAGGTAAAATTAATAATATAATTAAAACGATTCTCGAGGCATGCATGCGAGCAGCTTGTGGGTAATGTAATTCGATAGCGTAACATGAGCTGCACATATCCCGAGTGATTTACAACTGATAGTGGTGCTGATAGTAGTTAGACATGGTTCAAAGGGCAATAAAACAATAAAATTGAATAATAAATAGATGTATACTGTTATGAACTTAGAGCTACTTGGGGTCAACGAATGTAGTTTCATGTTACAATTTGAAGTCATTCTAGAAAGAAAAAAGGGTAATTTAGGTTTATTTAAAAAAAAATTTTATTTTTTTGGTTATGAGGTTGGTCGAATTGACTGATCCCACTTAGAGACAGGGTAGAGAAAATAACAGATAAACTATAAAGTTTTACTGTAAAAAAACGTTTGAAATGCATTTAGGAGGTTTTAGGGATTACACAAAGGAAATTTGAGATTTTTGAGATGAGGAAAAGTATTTTTAACTTTAACATGAAAATTACTTTGCACATGGACTATTCAAAACAAATACTCAATATATTAATGGACAAATCTTTATTTTATTAAAAATACTTTATATAAAAATATGACTTTGTGAAGATAGACATACTATATTGAAAGTTAGAAGAATTAAATCTGTAAAGACTTTAATCGAGTACAAAGAGAGAGAGGTAAGTTGCATGCTCAGTCCTTTTTTAGCTGCACCTTTTTTTCACATCTAAGGTGTTTTTGAATAGAAAATATTTCTCTGAGGGTTTTGAAAGAGATCAAGGATTGGATAAGTGAGCCACTCGCTACTCTAATGTGTATTATAAGTCCTCGAATAGTGGCCATGTGCCAGAAAATTAGATTTATTTCTGTATTGCTAAAGACTTGTGTTCACAATTCTAGATTTTTTTATTATATGAAAAATTAATGGTCTCTCTCTTTTCAGGAGGTTTTTTGTATGGATTCATCTCTTTGGGACTCTCAAATGTCACATATATTTCTGTGTTTGTCCTACCATCTAAGTGATGCTGCAAAATAAATCACACTTTTTCCCCCGAAGTAATGATGAACTTGGTAGGACCGTGAATATCATCAGTTGTGATAAAACGTCATCTAAATTTACTCTTGGGTGTTTGACTCTTTTCATTTTTTGCAAAAACCTTTGAATCACGATGCTCACTAGAACTCAGGTTCGTGTCGCATGTGCTGCCTTTGGGGTGGCTCAGAAAGTAGTCGCAGACATTCTCTGAGAATACAAGTCAGAGCTTTCGTTCAACAATGCACAGAAGAAATGTTGGAAACTTTGCCTGAATGCGAGAGACACAAACGTGAAACTTTGATTTGTGGTCTCACTGATGTGCTCACAAAGAGACGCCCACAAAAATGGACAAGTTTGTTGCATTGCTGAAATATATTGCAAATCAATTAAAACTTGTGCATGAGAACAATAGTGGCCCAATCAAGCAATATTGATAGTTGGAATTACTTTTTTGATTGAATTAAAATCTTATTTTACTTTGTTATGCTCTCAGGGAAAAAGTATGATTTATTTTGTAACATTCCTTGTGCTGGAACTCCTTTGGAAGTGAACAGAATGTGTCATGTAGTGGCTGGTGATTTCTTCATGGGTATCTTTCTCACCTCTGTGTGCACATCCTTGCATGGTTTAGAGATATAGGAAACAGGACTACTGTTCTCATTAGATGTCTCAGCTCCAACCAGAATGGTGATCATCTGTACTTTCATTATTATTTATTTACACTTCCATTGTATTGTCCTCACATTGTTGAGCCCATCTTTTAGGGCTGCTTGGGTCTTTCTTTCTGAGCACCCACAAATTTGGCTGGTTGTGTGACTCATTGGCTATTTTTGATATGGATGAAGAGGTATTGCCTCTGGAATATGTGTCTGAGAACCTTCCAGGAGCAGAAATAGTATTTCTCCTGCTTGTTTGTGCACAGATGTGTCCCATTGTTGGCATCATATATTCAATACACCATTACCACTCTCAAAAACAACCATTTTGACTAAATCAAAAGGTGTTATGGTTGAAGAGATACCCTGCTGAGAAGAATGCTTTATTTCTGAGTACCCTTTAGATCCTTGTCTACTCCATTCATTTTCCCTTGAATACAGTTCTGCAAATTACTTTGTGGTTCTGCATGCTACTTCAACTCGTCTTCACTATATATTTCTTGCGGTATAGATCATTATTTTCTTGTGCTTTCTTTTGTTTTCTTTTCATGTTCATTGGCTCCCTCCCTCCTTTACAAATATTCTTGTTTTTTAGTATTTAAGAGGCAAGTCTACCTGATTTGAACTCACATTTTTAGAATTAAAATGAATTTAAAACAGGTATGTATATAAGCTTTGCTTTCTCTTAATGTTATTAAAGCAGGTTTTAGTAGTGGAGCTCATGTATCACACCTGCATTTTATTGAACTGACAAAGGTGAATCTCAAAGAGAAAATTCCTCACATTTAACTGTAACTTTGTTGAAAACTGATGTTCAGTTACAAAAATTGCTTTATCAGTAATAAGTTATGGTTTATCTTCCGGAAATCTCATATTTTATTTACAGTTTTCAGTACGGTTTTCTCTAATGAGACAAGCTTCAAATCAGGACTGTAAAATTCACACCACCATATTTTATAATAAAGGACAAACTAGTAGCTGCTTTCATACTAACTTATCTAAAATCATAAAATATAATGAGCCTGAAAAAGTATCTGCTAGATGCAAAACAGCCCCTTTCCATCCAAAATCTGAAAATAGTGTTGATTAGTATATATATAAGGTTTCTGTTAATCTCTGTAATATACATCAGTTTAGCATACATATACCCCTGAGAATCTACAGTACTCTCTCCACCCCAGGAGGTATCTGTTTTGTGTCACTAAAACATATTTATGGTGACTTTATGCAAATTATGGCAATAGCAATATGAAGTAATAAGAGCACCATCTTCAATTCCAAGTAAACTTTTTGTTTTGTTTTTTACAATATAATAGGATGTTTTGATATACATGTATTGTGTTACAATATAATTATTTTTATACTTTGTTTTTCAGACTTGCATATTGCTGTTTTTGTTCGGAAAAAGACAAATAGCAAGATTTTCTCTGAAAACTAGGAAAGGTCCTCACATGCCAGTTGGATACAGTGCCTCAAAGGTATAACTGTTCTTTGTAGAATAGAATATACAATTTCTGATCTATATATGTAAACATTGTCTTAATTTAGGAGTGAAATAGTAAAGAACTGTATGATGAGGTACTAATTTTGTACTCATTGAAATGAAAGCACAAAACATAGATATGTGTCTTACTGGTAATTATAATTTCCATGTTCACATGTGAATTGTTAAATTTGTTCACAAGTTGTAATGCAACTCCCCACGAATCAGGAGTGCTCTCAGCCACATCTGACAGAGAAAACTGTTCTCAATGTACATATTGTGCTGCAATCAATTCTATATGCAAAAACTTTCTCTTTAGTGCTGCCACTGTATTATGAATAGACTTTTCATTTATTTTATTATCTTATATCTTTAAGAAAGTCAGTGAGTATAAGTTCATGTTGAAAATAACTTTGAAATAATTTCAAAAGCAAAAAATCAACTCTAGGTTTCTCTTTTTCTGTGTTGCAATCTTACATATATGTTTATAAATTTCTGGAGAAAGGGAAGTACCACTCTTGAAAACCAGCATAGTTGAGAAACATGCTTTATTATTCTGTACCTCGTGGAAACAAACATTCATTTATTTAAACTCACTTACAATTAGTATTCTGAATCAAAATAATTTTATTGAAAAATACTCAATGTATTGTAAAATGGTCCATAAAAAATTATGTATACTATAGCATAAAATCCAGAGACAAATTTTAATTTTTACTCCCTAAAAGCATCTTCTGTATATATTGTTTTGTGTTTACTATTGCTTAATGCTCTGGTGGCTCTAGCATTTCAGTTTTATTGGCAGACATTAAGGAATAACTTAATCAAGATAGTATAGATAAATACATCGTACTTTGTATAGTAAAATAAAGTTCAGATCTGCTATTACAAAACACAAGTTCCATCACTTGTCCTCTTCAATCCAATTTTTGTTTGGGAAGGAAAGACACACAAAGCTTAGTGTATTCTGATTCAGTACTTACCTCCTCTCACAGGATTAGCTATTCTCGTTCAATGCTGCCCTCTATATTTGTGAACTATTCTTTATACATGCCATAAGCCTAGCTCCTCCCCCTTTGTTGGAATTACTACATTTCAACATGTCTCTCATGCAAATCATCATGCGTCATCTCTTAACCAATAGTAGCATGACATGCTCACATGATGCATGTGACTCCCTCTATACTCCTCTACGGAACCTTCACTTCTTGTTTAGCAGTGCTCGTGTTCAGACGTTTTGAATTTTGCTTTCATGTGTTTCATTGTTGTTATTTTAATAGTTTTATTACAAAAGTGGTTTTCTACTTCTTTTTGCTTATACAGCTGACATTTATTTTCAATTACTTTTCAGTCTTTATTTTTTTCAGCACATTGTATTATCTATCAAACATTTTATTTGATTTCGTATTTCTTATAAATTCCGAGGTTAATGTGACCACTTTGATATTTCACACCTAATATGAGCACTCTTTTGCCATTATTGCGGGTGGGGCGACCCGTTATGGGACTTACCTGTGATTATTTACTGGGAGATTAATCATTATATGGGTCAAACATCTTCTCCTGATGTTTCCCAACTTCCTCACGAACAATCCGTTCTGGTGAAGATTTGATAGCCTTTTTCTGTCACGAGATTTTGCCATGTCTTCCTATGCCCCCCATGCAGAATCAGCTAGGCCTACTACGTCCTATATTTCTTAGGTATGTGATGTTTTATCCCTTCCTCTGGATATTAGGGTTCATGCTGCACATTTTGCTCTCCAATTGGTTGATGGTGCCAGCATGCATCGCCTCCACAGGCTATAGATCGGTTTGCTTTAGCAAACCATCATGCAGACTGTCCATTTCTAGAATCTCAGTTGCTAGGTCTATTTTGGTTGTATGGGGAGCACTCCCAGGTTTTCCGGTGCAATCTCCCATGCCAAGTTTTCATGCCTTTGTCTTACCCTTACTTCCTTTCTAATGTATTTATCAACCATACATCTCCTTTCTGAGGCTATGCACTGAAATTGTAAGGATTTTTCAAGGTACAGCCTCTCACTTGTTAACTCCACATTGGCTTGTTTGTTATCCTCGACTATCACCTCACGCGTGTGGTTTCTCCATTGTTGGGCTCTTCTGGGTCATGATGCAGCTTTGTCATAGGTTCATTGGCTGCCCATTTATCTCAGGATATTTTCAAGGTACAGCCTCTCACTTATTAACTCCACGTTGGCTTGTTTGTTATCCTCAACTATCATCTCACGCGTGTGGTTTCTCCATTGTTGGGCTCTTCTGGGTCATGATGCAGCTTTGTCATAGGTTCATTGGCTGCCCATTTATCTCAGGATATTCCATTTCGCCCTTCTTTTTTCAGGTGGTATTTTTTACCACATCCCAGGTACTTTGGAATTACGAGTGGAATACCTGCATCAACTCACTACCCATTTCTTCTTGAGTTGGTCGCTGTCGGAGTCACGATAAGCCCCTATGCCTGATTTCAGTCCTAGTCCTCTTAGTCCTTACCTGTTCCTTCTTCCAGGGGTTCCATATCTCTTCATTTTCTTCGACGTAGATTGGCACTCTGCCATCAGTACTGGTGACTATCTGGGGGATTCTGGTCCAGTTGGAGCTCAATTGTGCAAATTTTTTCTCCATTGGCGATATATTATGTCACAGATCAGTTGGATATTCGGATTCTCTTGGATGGACTTGTCCTCCGATCCCTTTCACCTCCTCCTTTGTCACAGATACACATTCCTTCCCTCTGATTTGGGATTCCATTACCAGCCACCACCGGGTAGAGGCTGTTCTAAACCTTCTGTTTCAACAGGCCTTTCAAACTGTGAATCATTTTTCTCCAGGTTTACAGATGACCAAGATGGATGTCACAACTATTTCCTTACATACAGCATTACCTCGGCTGTTGCGACCGTATCTTTGGTTTGCCCTTTGAGGGGTGATTTATCAACTTTACATATTTCCTTTGGGCTTACTTCGGCCTTGTATGTTTTTGTCAAGTGGTTTGGGCTTTTGCTCATTCGAATTTATTTGTTGAAGCTTTCAGTTCTACACTCTTACTGCTCCCTATTTTACCACTTGCGAGGTTCTATCAGTTTGGGGATGTGGTCTTCCATGATTACTCTCAGGTCAGGCTCATATGCGAGCTCTTCATGACTAATGGTTTCTTGCATGGGTACCTTTGCAGGATCTTATTATCCTTCCTCCTACCATAGTCAATGTTCTGCATTGGTTGTTGAACATGCCCCACATGTCAGCAAGTGTCCTGCTTCTTCCCCCTTGTCTGGATTTACCTTTTTTTACAGATGCTTCCCTATAGGGATGGGGGTGTGGGTCGATCACCAGAAAGCTTCGAGGCATTGGTTTGTGGCCAAGAAATCTTCTAAACTCCACACTAGAGCTTTTCATGGTTCACTGGACCTTGGATTGTTTCCTTCATCAGGCTAGACATTGTCTGGTCGTGATTCATCCTGATAATTCGTCAGTGGTTGCTTACCTCAATCATCAGGGTGGCACCTGTTCTTCATACATATGTTTTCTCACATTGGATCTTCTTTTCTGGACCTACATGTAGGATATCCATATTCGACTCCTTCTCTGGGTGATTTAGATCATTCATACTTCATCATGTCAGATCCTTCTGATTGCTCCTTACTGATCAGTTCCTTCGTGGTTTCCACGCTTTCTCCAGTTCCATCTTACCCCTTCCCCTGTCTCCTTCCCTGCTTCAACAAACTCAGTCACTGGTGCTTCATTCCATTCTTCCTGTCCTTCCTCTTTATGCTTGAATTTTATCTGGTCCTTGGCAAGGAAATCAAGTTTATCTCGAAATGTCACTTCCCTTCTGACCCATTCCCTCAGCCCTTCCTCCTTGGAAGTTTATTAGCATCAATGAAACATTTTCCACCATTGGTCTCTGGGCAGGAGACTTGCAGCTGTTGGGCCCACTGTTACTCATATTGCAGATTTCTTACTTGGCTTTTTGATTGGGGTTCCTTTGTCTCCTTGATTTCCAGTTATCAAGCATCTTTCTCCCACATTCACTATTTTTACTCGATACTGTCGTGTTTTCCTCTCCTACACTCTCCTGTTGTCATCCATGACAAGCTGCCCATCTGGACTGGGATGCTCAGGTAGTTCTCCACAGCCTTTCTTTGCCTCCATTTGAACTACTTTCCACGTGCTCCTTGTTTCACCTTTCCTTTCAGACTTATTTTCTTCTATTGATGTTTCACGTACTTATTATTTTCATACATACCTTCTCCTTTTCCGGATCATTCATTCCTCCCTTGATCCTCTGCAACATGGGAGATTATCTCCTTCCTTCCATTTCCCTCCTTGGCCTGATCTGGATAGTCTTGTTTGTCCCGTACATGCTCTTCAGTGTTGTATTGCCCACACGGCTTCCATCTGTGGTGCCCGTTTCTACTTCTTTATTCCATGGTAACCATCTTCTATTCATGATCTTTCTCCTCCCTTTACCAATTAGGTTCTACTTTTGTTTCGATTGGCTGATTCCTATTTTACATTGTTCTCCCATATTTTGTTCCAGGTGTTTTCTCATCAAAATTCACAATTTATCTTTTCTCTGGCATCTCATCTTCATCGTCCATAGGAGGAAATTCTTTAGTAGGGCATATGGACTACACCTTATACGTCTGTCCCTCTTTATTTCATCTATATTGCGGTTTCTTCTTCATCAAGTTCTCATCTTCCACCTGCAGCCATTTTTCATGATTCAGTGCAACTTTGACTGGATAAGTTTATATTAGTACTTTTTTTTTTCGGTGATGATGTTTCTCCAGACTCTCCTGCATTGTCCCCCTCCTTTCCTCGAGTGCAGTATGGGAGTCTTTACCACTTCTAGTACCAAGCTGCTGGGGTGGTTGATCAAGGAGGCACCCTCCTGAATGCGTTCCACAAGGAAAAGATTTGAACCATTCAGCTAAAAGTGTTCTGCTAGTGTAGATGTGACATGGCCTTCTGATCATGCTT